ATTATTACAATTAATGGCTAAATGAATGTTTGGAAATGTAAACTGATATCTCCTTCTGGCACACTACAGCAAAAGAAAGAAATAACTGACTTAAAACCATTTTTTAGCTGGTGGAAATACTAGTGTTCTAATCATTTTGGCCACCACTGTATGTCTTTAGAGGTATTTAATTATTTATATATGCAGATGCAGCGACACTCATTTAGCATCACAATAACTGTGACACAGTGCGCTGCTTTGTGAAGAGCAGAGCTCGTGTTGTGCATATCGTTTAACCAGGAGCTCCGTCAGCTGTGCTTTCTGACCAGAGTGTGGTGTTAGTTAAGCGAGGCTCGCAGGAGATCGTTACAGTCTCCGGCTCGTCGTCGCTGCCCTGGGCTATGGACTCCAGAATGGAGGCCCTGGAGAGCCGGCGTTTTTCCCTGTTGGCCTCGAGCGTGGCAAAGTAGTTGACCGCCGCAAACTCGACGAGGGCCGAAGCCACGAAGGCAAAGCAGACGGCGATGAACCAGTCCATGGCGGTGGCGTAGGAGACTTTGGGCAGCGAGGAGCGGGCACTGATGCTCAGAGTGGTCATGGTGAGCACAGTGGTGATTCCTGAAGGTCACAGGAGATTATGTGAAGACGCAAGTGCAGATTTACATCAGAAATTATCCCAGAAACACTGAGAACATGACAGAAAATCTTAAACAGTGAATAGTTAAAGGGACAGTTCACCCACAAATGTTGTTCCAAATCTGTATTAATGTTGGTAACCAAGCAACTGCTGGTCCCCTTTGACCTCCATTGTTTTTCTATACTATAGAAGTCAATTGACCTATCGGTAAGCCCCGCCCCCCTTAGTTACTGTTGCTACCTCGGACCAACAAACGGAGCTGCTCACTCTCTTACAATGACAGCTGTCAGTGTGAAAACCTTGTCACAAGATGTTCTTGAACAATGTTGGACACAGAAGGGCCACCATTCAAGTGGGAATTAAATATGCCATAGAGGGATATATAAAAGATTTAAAAATAAATATGGTGGCGAACTCGATTAATCTGGAAGCGAGGGTTTGCAGATCAAGCGGGAGAAGCCTCATGTTACGGTCGACACGATCACGGATGACAACATGCAGGATCAACACTGTTCATGTATCACACGATTAAATTAATGCACATTTAACCAGTATGAAGAGATGTGTTTTTGACCTACACTACACATCGTTTTTCCATTTTTGTAGCATAAACACCATCAAACCGATGCGAGCTTCGGATCTTCCAATGTTTCTCTATGGCACTGAAACTGATACTCAACTGCCATTGGCTCATCTGCATTCAAGGGGAGGGGCTTACTGATAGGTCAGTTGCTACCAGCAACTGTCCGGTTACCAACATTCTTCAAAATATCTTCTTCTGTGTTCAACAGCAGAAATAAACTCATACAGGTCTGGAAAAACTTGAGGGCGAGTAAATGGTGATGGATTTTCATTTTTGGGTGAACTATCCCTTTAAGACCACTAGTATACTATATTTTTAAATAGAATGTGAAACAGTATGAATTATGTTGTTAGCTACATTGTGGTTACATGAACTCATTATACGTTCCAGCAAATGGTGATCAGTTATCATCTTGGAAATTAAAATGGGTATTTTTGCACTTTTATTATAGTTTTGTGTAGAAATGTCTATTGGCAGGTTGATCTAATAATCAAGGAAAAAATTACAAACTGTACTTTGGTTGGTAAATCACACCATACTCTGTATGCTGCAATGTATTGGGCATATTCTTTGTATACAGAAAAAAAATAGTGTGTCTGTACAGTTTCAGTGTGGTTATTGTTGAGTAAAACTAAAACGCAAAATAATAAAAATTATTTTCATTCATTGAAATAAAGCTTAAATAAAATATAAAGTACATAAATAATTGAAAAACTTTAGGTGAAAAACTGTAAAATTGGAAATGCTGTTTTATCTGAAAATAAGTTGTAGATGAAGTACTAAAATGCAAAAGGAATTTTATTTAAAAAAATGAATATATAGTATATATATAAGCTAAGTATACACACACACACATATATATTATTCTTAAAACTATTAGTTAAAATTTTGCTATTTTTAATTTTTTGTAAAAATGCAACATACGATCAAATAAAAATTCAAGAAACAGATTAAAAATTGAGGCTGATATTACTTTCAGTTCATTTATCATACTGGAAATGGAAGGTCAAAACAAACGCATTGCATTATGGGATGCAGTATTCTACCCAATCTACTCTGTTGTATACAATACATTTTGTGGTGTGTCCTCCAGTTATTCCATACATACAGAAAAACTGCATACTGTACAAAGTGCACTATATATTGCAACAGCAAGAGTAAGAGTAGTATGCGATTCCATAGAATAAATAGCATGTCATGAGTGATGACTGTGAGATGCAGGTATGCAGCGATTGAAAAGTATTATGATTCTTAATTTTCCTCTTTGTACAATTAAATAATTTTAAAACTGTGCCTCAAATTTCCAGATGAAACACTAACACATAGCCTAACATACACTGAAGTTCAAAAGTATGGGGTCGGTATGTTTTTTCTTGTTTTTTATTTTTAAGAAATTTATATTTTTATTCATCAAGGACGCATTAAATTAATCAAAAGTGACAGTAAAGACATTTATAATGTTACAAAAGATTTCTATTTCAGTTAAATGCTGTTCTTTTTTAAAAATGCATTACGGTTTCCACAAAAATATTGTGCAGCACAACTGTTTTCAACATTGATAATAATCAGAAATGTTTCTTGAGCAGCAAATCAGCGTATTATTATAATTTCTGAAGATCATGTGACACTGAAGACTGGAGTAATGAAGCTGAAAATTCAGCTTTGATCACAGGAATAAATTACATTTTAATATATAATCACATAGAAAACAGCTTTTTTAACAGCTTCAGTTTTACTGTTTTTACTGTATTTTGGTCAAATAAATGCAGCCTTGATCAACATAAGGAGACCTCTTTCAAAAATCTAAATCGAATGATAGATGTTTAATTTAATATGACCATCTAAAAACACACACTCATACCAGCCACTGTTCGAGCCGGGACAGACTCCTTGTTGATCCAGAATGCAACTTGTGACAGCACAACCACCATAATTAATGGGATGTACGTTTGGATGAGATGGTAGCCAAGCTTCCTCTGAAGATAGAAATGGACAACCTGGACAGAATACAGACCTAGACGGTGCCAAGACATTAGAGGAGGACACTGATGAAGACAAATCGTGCAAGTTCGATACATCTACAGTATGTGATGCTCTGATCAAGCCCATTTGGCTGAACACGACTCCAAAACATTTAAGAGGGAATTTTGGCTTTATTTCTGTCCTTATTTACAAGAAAAGGTAAGCAAGCACAGATCTTTCTTTTGGGTTTGAGCCTTGATCTGATTGGGCACCCAACAAGTGGTCCCTGCTTTTTGCCTGCCTTTAAATTCCTCATTACTGAGCCCCCGGTCATCCTCGGAACACGATCAGAGGCTGAAACGGGCTTATTGTAACGCAGCTATTTTTAAAGACAGACCTCATGAATTAGGCCTGATCAGATAAGCATCTTAGATTGCCTCTCAGAGCGGAAGCTGGCTGGGAATTGTAGCTCTTAACACACACAATTAGATAAGTCATTTACCGTAGTAATAGGGGTGTGTGATATTGCTTTTGTGATTTTTCGATAATGATAATTAAACAATATTTGACTTAGTGTGTTTTTATGCTGGTAACTTGGCTCGTTTAGGCCTGTCATGGATAAATAGATATGATACTAAAACCACCAGTAGGTGGCGGCAGCAAGTCCCTGTCTTAATGAGTGATTCACTGAATCATTCATTCAAATGACTCATTCAAAGCAGATGGTTCATTTAGAAATGAATCTTTATGAATGGAGCATTGAATCATTGACTCAAATGATTCGTTCAAAAACAGATTCGTTCAGAAACTAAACACTGCAGTGTTGCTCTGAGATGCACAAATGTCCTGCTCCGGCTTTGTTTCGAACTATTTCCGTTGGCAAAACGGAAAAAAAGACAATACTGTGTCTATAAAAAATTTAACTCACTCAATATAAAGTAATATCACATTCACGTGCAAATATTCAGGAAAACCGCACTCTTGCTTGTAATGCATACTAATTTTAGTGTTAGCACATTCAGGGCTATTTTTTGCTTTCATAACTTGAATTATAGGGTCAATTTAACTGCATTCTAATAGGCTTCATCACAGTGAATGCTTTTGGACTTTCAAGACGTGTATTTGTTTTTTTTGCAACGTGAATGACTCCATAATATCAGCTCACAACAATTACGATATTATCGCAGACGATAAATATCGCACACCCCTACTAGTAACACTACAAGACATCTGGCATGCTACATCTGTAATATTTAGGGAACACTGAGCAATAAATGAAAACACACCTGTGCTGAACTTATATGTTTCGCTGAACAAGGTCTGGCCCACAAGATCATACTGAAGTAAGCTTGATGATTCTGGAGGAAAATCTACTGATGCTTGAAGACCCTTCCTCCACGTGTAGACGATTTCATTATTAGTGTAAGCATCTGAAGGTTTAAGAGAAAGCAGTTGAAGAATGGTGGATGGAAGCATGGATGAAAAACAGACAGATCTTACAGCTTCCAAACAGGAGAGGACATGTGTGTCCATCCATAGGAAAGTCCAACAACACCATTGGACATACTGCACTTACAGTCAGCCTGAAATATAGAGAAAACAGGCATTTATTCGATGACCCAAATTATGATATCTTAATGAAAACATTCCCATTTATACTGAAACAGATTTCCAAGGGGTTTTTCTTACCTCATAGTGTAAAAGACCGTTCCGTTTTGCATGATTCGAAACAGCTTGTTAGGAGACGTCATGTTGTGTGCGAGGGACGTCCTAGCATTGCGAAAAAACATGTCGGGCGTCCAGATCTTGTCCACCATGCAATTATTCAAAGGCAAGATTTCGACGGGCCCCTGAAAGGCTAACCTCTCGTCAACCCACATTTGGCGGAAAAACATATCCATGGTGAACTCCTGAGAGAAAAAACAATTTCTTTCTGTGAAACATATTCTTTTTTTTACGGCTACAACCGATATGAATTCATCATTTGAGTTATTTTTTAAGCATAGTGTGGGTGAGATTTGACATACTGAAATTAATTTGAACAGATGTGTGAGACAGAAATAAAATGACAGCTTATTATCGACTTAGAAAGTAGGCTACTTTAGCCACAAGACACAAAGCACTATAGCTAAATCGAATTTGTACAATAATAAACACAAAAATAAAGATGTAACATTTGTGTGCTGTATTTTCTTACCATCTTAACATCAGACACTGGTCCAAAACTTGTGACGAATATGTCTGTTTTGACCTCAGTTACAGAGACTGCAAAGATAATCACAGATTACATTTACATGTAGAGATGTGAGTCCATTACACTGTTACAGCAAAATTAAGTGAAACACATAACATTTAGACCAAAAATCATTAGATGACATTAAAAGACTCTATTTAAGGACCACAGTGCAGCACTAAAATACTAATTAATTGTGATTTTAAATCGTTCCCAATCTTTGCCACAATCCTTCAAACCACCAGGTTTAGTATGTAAAGAGTTTAGTATGATCTCTTATTCTTTTATATATTTTAATAAGTGCAGATCGTAGTAAGTATGTTGTTTCATTTTTGGTCAGTATACCTTGCTTAGTCCATTAACTCACCTTGTGAGACATAACAAGGCCAAAAGAAGAGCCATTTCTGTGACAAAAAGGTAAATAAATGTAATTAAAATAAAGCCGTCAGTGGTTAGAGGTCATAATGTAATGTATAATGTGCTCTAGATGTAAGAGTACGCCTTACAGATGCACTGAAGCACTGTCTTACGTCTGTCAGTAAATGAAGAGCTGACATTAACTCACCTTGTGAGACATAAGGCCAAAAGAAGAGCCATTTCTGTGACAAAAAGGTAAATAAAAGTAATTAAAATAAAGCCGTCAGTGGTTAGAGGTCATAATGTAATGTATAATGTGCTCTAGATGTAAGAGTACGCCTTACAGATGCACTGAAGCACTGTCTTACGTCTGTCAGTAAATGAAGAGCTGAATGTGAAGTGAAACGCTTTCAGGATAATCAAATTAAGGGATTAGTCAAATCCAGGTTAAAGAGTATCATCTAGCAAACTAGGCATCAACTAGCAAACTAGTCTTTCTTGCAAAAGTTGTTCAGCTTCAATAAACATTGCCCCTGTAGTAGTTGCCTTGTCTGACTTTCATAATTAGGGTTAAAATAAACTTATTGCCAGGGCAATATAACACAAGGTATAGTGTTATAAATATATGCAACATATTTTGACTCAAATATTACATATATATAGAGCTTATATGTTAGTTAAGTATTGCATTACACTGATAAATACATTTATATTGTACTATTTATTAATATATAGCCTATTATATATATCTAGAAGCTTGCATTCTGCAAGTGAACGGTGCATTATTGTTCATCCCAAAGAGGCACAAAATCACTTTCACAGACTTTTACATTAAATGTTCCCTGCTGGTGGAATGACCAGAGACCATCTTCAAGAATCGGCTAAAAACACAGCTCTTCTATCTTTATTTGACCCTCTAACTCTAGCACTCTCTATTCTAATTCTATTCTTAAAAAAAAAAAAAACGTGCCCCTTTTAGACTTGCACTCTATTCATTTACTAACTGCTTGTTTTCTTTAAAAATATAAAAAACCAACACTAGCTTCTCCAATCTTTTTGTATTCTATTTGTTTTCTTTTTATTTATTATACAATTAACAAAAGCAAAAAAAGGCCTCTAACACTATCTTGCTCTATTCTTTTTCTATTCTGTTTTTTTATTTATTATATAATAATAATAATAAAACCCTCACTACGTATACTGCGTTAAGCTAACTGAGACTTGTTATAGCACTTGTATATCATTGCTCTTTTGTTGTATTTTGATTGCTTCTATTGTTCTCATTTGTAAGTCGCTTTGGATAAAAGCATCTGCTAAATGACTAAATGTAATGTAAATGTAATATTGTGCAGCGTTAGTCTTGTTGCTAGCCTGTTTGTTTATGATGTAACCAATTATTTCTCTTAGTAGAAATTAAAAGAGTGAAATAATCTCAACTCTGCAGATGTATTTCACTCAAAATAAATAATATTATTCGCTGGCTGTACGTTATTCCTTATATATTTGACGAAATTTTACAAATTAGCTCTTGTTTATGGCGCACTTCCTCGCGGCATTCTATGATATTACTAGAACGTGTGAGAGATCTTCAAGGTATGGATCTTTACTGAGGGTTTATATACAAGATCCAGACAGGATTGTGTTTTGGAGAGATTAGATCCAGTATAACTTCTTGTGGAGAAATGCTTGTGTTGTTGTTGTTGTGTGTTACATATAATTGCCATATTACTTATTTGGCGTAAAACTGTATTAAGAGGAACCTTGACAATGTATAATACACTAAGTGCTCATAATTGACGTTTAAAATGACATTGCAGTCTTCTAACATTAATGAAAATATATGCTTTTCATACCATGTTTTTATTTCAAATGGTGTGTTCTATAAAAAATATTTTGTTTCCAACAGAACCCTGGATTTGACTTCCATTTGACTTGAGATCTCTGGGAACTTTCACGCCGGTGGACCAGATTTCTCCAGCTTGCAAAAATAAGAGGACTACTCTCATTCCTGTACTTGATGAGGTCTTACTAAATTGCAGTTTTTTTTTCCTGGAGAATATATAGTTTCTTCCTCTGGAGTCTTTGAGTTTCAGATACAGGAAGTGTATCACAGCGAGTCAAAGCCATAATATATCACAAGCAGCCTTCGAGTCGGGTGGGTTTAATTAACAAATGCAAAGTCTTTTTTGTAATCAGTGGTTTCAGAGGACTGTTTGCTCAGCTTATCCTTTGAATTTCAATAAATCATGTAATTCAAGCACTTATTAAATGCCTCACATTACAAACGAGCACAAGTGTTTTGCATTCCAATAAGGTTTTATTGAAAGGTTCAACTACATCATTTCACAGAACGCTGCTCTCAACTTCCAGAGTCTCAAAATTCAATTCAATCCGCTTTATTTGTAGCACTCATTTCTTTGTTATATACCAGGTATAGAACAAATGCTTACGGTTACACAAGACTGTAGCAATAACCCAAATGTAAAATGAGCTTCAGCCTTATCAGCAAGTAATTAGCGATTTTTCTTCCTATTAGAGGCATATTTAAAACCTGCATTTCCATAGCCATCCAGATTTCGGCGTAATAAAGAAAAGAAAAACAAAAAAAAACAAAATCTTGTTTCGTCACCTTGGGTAGGAGTGTGCATTACGACAGCTGACAGCCTAGGGTGGGAGTGAAGGGTTTTGGGCCTGATCTCTTGGTTCTGTTGTTGTCTTGAATCTCAAAACCCTTCTCCCTCCTCTTCCACACGGTGGACTGAGGACCTAGGCGGCTCTATACTTCATTGCTTCAAACAACCGGCGCGTCCCGCGCCAATTCAGATGAACATACTGTACACATGCAAGCCTTACTTGCTCAAACTCACCCTTGACTAGCAATCAAGACGTGAAATAAATACAATCATGGCAGGTGTCAAAGAGAACAAAGACTGAGGAAAGGAGAAGTAGAGAAATTAGTGTTGGGTGCCCATAACACAGATTAGAAGTATTAAAGCATTCACACGACTGCATTTAGCAGGTTTTTGTTATGGGCGCTCGACACTAACGGTCTTAACAAGCGTATTCAGGGATCGTGGGTAGATGTGCGATCTTGTAGTAGCTGTGCTTCAGTTGTCTGGCGGTTCGACCTGAAATCATCCATCGCAGTCTCTGGCCGTTTGGCTTCAGGCACTTGGTGGAGGCGTATTCAGCCAGGCATTTAGTCACCAGCTCCCTCACGCAAACCAGGTCTCCAGCTTTAACCTGAAGCACAGAATCAACCACAGAACAACAAATCAACACTGAAAACATTTACACTGCAAAAAAATCATGTTCTTCCTTAGTACGTTTGTTTTTTCTAGTATAACAAATTCTTGAATCAGGATGCGTTTACTTGACAAGTAAAATGACTTAAAATATTATGTCTTGTTTTCTGAAAATATTATCCAAATTTTGTTAGTTTCTCGCTTAAAACAGGTTTATGGTTAAAATTAGTGCTGTCAAACGATTAATCATGATTCCAAAATAAAAGTTTGTTTATGTAATATAAGCGTGTATACTGTGTATATAAATAAGCATAGTATATTTTGAAAATACTTACATGTATATATTATTTTTATACAATTTATATTATATATAAATATATTTAACATACAAATATAAAATTTTTATTAAATATATACATGTATGCGTGTATATTTATATATAGCCTACATAATAAATATACACAGCACACATACATTATGTAAACAAAAACTTTTATTTTGGATGCGATTAATCGCTTGACAGCACTAGTTAACATTAAAACATAGAAGAAACATTGCGATTATTCTTTAAAAATAATGTTTTAGTAGAGTCCATATCGCAATCTGATTTAAGTGTACTGACCTACTTTTGATCCATTCTTTCAAAATTTGACCAATTCTATGGCATTTCATGTTATACAGTAAATCCATTTTTATGACTGGATTCAGTGATTCCATCTGCATGTTTCGTGTCACACAAATCAGCATTCATTTATGTAGGACTTCTCGAATAATTTCGGACACTGAAGACTGCAGTAATGATGCTGAAAATAGAGCTTGGATCACAGGAATGAGTTACATTTTAACATATATTCACATGTTTTGAATTGTAATATGTCAAATTTGACTGTTTTTGGATCAAATAAATGCAGCCTTTGTGAGCAGAAGAGACATTAAAATCTTACAAACTGTTGAACAGTAGTGCATACACACAAACACAGTGCAGCGGCTCACCTTTCTGCGTCCAGCTGCTCTTGAATGAGAGCGTGAAAGAATCTGAGGAAGTGAAGGGCGGTCGGAGCCTTGACCTTCCAGCAGAGCTTCTCCAGAATGATCTTCTCCATCCTCATCATGTCGTGGACCGTAAAGCGGTTCTGGCTGATCCTGAGGAGGTCACTGGCCAAAGGAACGCTCTTCTCCTCTTCGGACGTCTTCACAGCGATGTAGAAGCAGCAGAGAGCCACACAGGACAGATGCTTGGGCTGAATCTGAAAACAAGAGAAAACCGTTCAACAAGAACCCACACAGAAAACATCTGGGATTCATACGGAGAAGTAGAGCTGGACGAGTAATCGAAACCCAAATTCATAACCTCGAACCGACATAATTTTCCCATGTCCATTATTTGGGTTTTTTAATCCCATTAACACTCTCCCCTTAAAAACATAACACCGTGTCAACGCTAAACAGACGTGTATTTTTCTTAATCAGCAGTGCTCTATTTGCATACATTCATTATTTAAAACATTTGTTTACACAGGAGATGAAAGTTATTTTTTTCTACTTTTCACATTGCATTATTTAAAATATTAACTAACATGTTTATTTATTCACTTTTTGACACCATGCCAGCGGCAAGGCTATTTTAATGGCAATCTCTAAATTATTAATTAGATACAAGTTATTTTCTACTTTTCGCATGACAATATTTCAAATGTATTTTGTTTGCAAGAGATGCTGGTTATTTTATACTTTTGACACGGCAATATTCATTTATTTTGTTGGCAAAAAATTACAATTATTATTATTTTTTAGGAAACTTGCTTTTTATAATAAAACTGAAATGTGACTTTCCACAAGACGTCTTCATTTCAAGCAAGCTTTGATTTCAGTTGCTCGAAATATTCAACAAATAACCATAAATAGTTTGTTTCCTTCAATTATTTAAAAATTATTAAGATAAGAAATGCACTCTTTCATTAGAAAAAAAAAAATTCCACATTTAATAGTAGAGTATTTTTACACTACAACCCTTTAAATGAACTATGAGGGCAAAAAATAAATAAAAAATCGTTCAATAATCATAATCGAGTTAAAGCGGTCAATTAATCGAGGTTTTGATTTTAGGTCAAATCGCCCAGCCCTACTGAGAAGGTTGAGGCTAATTACAGAGATAAACTGAGGAGTTAAATCTGGCCAAAAGCACACGCACCTTCACCTTCAGATATTATCGTAATTGTGGTTTTAACGATGTGCAATTTGACATTATCAAGTATTTTGCAAAAACCAAACAAAACACCTACGGAGCGCATGCATTACGTGATGAAGTCTAGTCTAGTGCGCGTGCGCTTTTACAGTGCGTTCTTTCGCTGCATGATTCAGTCTATTAAAATACATTCAGAATGATCACAAATTCAAGACATGGGGGCAGAAAATGTGTATATTTATACCACTTCATCTAGTTAATCAGTTTCACACGAAGAGTGCCGTTTTTCTCCAAAAATTACCATGATTACGAATGCGATATTGATTTTTTACAACAGTTTAATAAACAAGACGTTAATTAAGAGACCTGCGTTTTAAACACTATATTGTGCGATTTTGACAAAATAATTCCAAGCACAGCCACAGCGCTGTTTTGCGTCTCTGAGCAACATGGAGTTTCGTTCCTGAATGAATCAACAACCGTTTAAATGATTCGGTTCAATCGCAATGACTCACTTATTAACACTCACTTGCTGCCACCTACTGGCGGTTTTAGTTTGACATTTAAAGCACCTTTTTATGATTTAAATAATTTCAAACATCAGTATTCAACGTTTTATGTTTAATATATCAAAACATTATATATGCATGCGTAACTGCAGATTAAAGCATTCATGTCCTGTATTAAACCGTAAATACTAGGGATGTTGCGGGTCTAGTCGACTAAACGGTACAGCTCCTACTAGTCGACACTTTTTTCTTTTTAACGACCGCCTAAAATAAAATGTTAACGCGAGGCAAGTGTGCGGCAAGCGTAATTCATTGAGGGATTTGTCAGTGTGATTCATAGATTAAGTATTTCAAATATAGGCTATTATATATGCTACACGCACGCACAGAGGTTTTTTTTTTTCTTACCATCTTTTGGGGGTTTCTTGCTTTTAGACTAGTCGACTAGTCGGATACAAAACTTTCATTTAAACGACAGTCAAATTAGTCGTCGCGCACATCCCTAGTAAATACATCTAAATGCCACTTCAGATGCAGCTTCTGTGTTTCCTCTGCAATGCAAACACGAGTTTTGTTGAAACGGATTTCATTTGTTTGGTAACGGCCCAAATGTCTTCTTATTCTAATCGACTGATTAAATGTAAGAATCTGACTCAAAAGATAAACGCACACTTTTAGAAAAAATGGCTTTATAAAAAGGTAAAAAAACGTCCATAACAGGTAAAAAAAAAAAAAATCAATTTGAAACTTATTGGAAAAGATTGATTTCTATCAGTGTGAATTGACCACAACATGAAGAATAGCATACAGCGGTCCACGGCAGTCCACGATAACACACTCAGCAAAATATAGTCTAATTATCATTATCGAAAAAATCCCAGAAAATATCGAGATGTTATTTTTTTGTCAATATGGCACCTTCATCACAGCCAGGAACCGATCTAGAAGATTCACAGCGAGGGAGAACGTCTCCGAACTGAAGCCGAAGAACCGCGTCAAGGAGAGAAGGTCTCGGACTTGGAAGTCTCTCAGCTTGACCGTCATCCTCAGACCGTTCTCCTGAGCGGACTCGACGACTCGCAGTCCACAGAGTTTGGGCTGATACCGGGCTTCTTGATCCAGAAGAGCTTTGAGCTGGAGGGCAAAGGGCAAAGCCCCCACTCCGGTCACCTGATCAATCATCTACAATAATAACAACATCAGCATAGAAATATTAAGCTAAAGCAGTATTAAAGACAGACGTCCTACATTGTGGAGAATTATCTCAGGCATGTGCAAATGTAACATGCTTTGCATACGGACTCAATATAACATGAAATGCAAATACAAACGGAGCACATGCACATACAAAAATGGTCTAATAATAAACCTAACATTACATTATTTAAAATTGAACCTGAGCATTACATTGAAGCTTTAAAAGATCCAAAAAATAAAAAAGGATGATATAGAATTTTTGAATCCTTTTCTTATGGAAATTTATTGCAAGTTATCCCCTGTAGTAGTTTTTTTCTTCTTTCTGTTTGTTCATTTAATGCTATTATAAATGTAATTGATAATAGTTAAAACCCCTGTGATGCTCTATATACATGCATGTTGTATTCTTTAATATATAATTATTTACATTTGATCATTTAGCAGACGAGACTTGCAAATGATTTTGAATATTGCTATAACAAGTCTCAGTTAGCTTAACGCAGCACACATAGCAAGGTTTTTTTTTTTTATATAATAAATAAAAAGAAAACCGATAGAATAGAAAAAGAATAGAGCAAGCTAGTGTTAAGAGGCCTTTTTTGCTTTTGTTAACTGTATAATAAATAAAAAGAAAAATGCATAGAATACAAAAAGATAAGAAAAGCTTGTTTTCTTAAAAAAAAAAAAAAACTAGCAGTAAATGAATAGGGTGCAAGTCTAAAAGGGACACGTTTTTTTATTTAATATATATTTAATTATTTTCTTGGATGACATTTTTATTCTGGAAGTTAACTAATCCCTAAGCATCCCCCAAAAATATCTAATTTCGGACTTTTAAAATAAAAGCTCGTAATGGTTTTTGTTTTCTTTCTCGAAGATGTCCTATTAAATCACGTTAACCACGTAAGGGACATTAAAACAAGTGTCCATCTGGTAACTTACAACCCTAAACGCTTCGAGATTGAGAACGAGGGTCCGAGCACATGTCCAGGCATGTCCCGGCTTCCGAAACCGGGACGTTAACGGTTTACTCGCTTAAACATTTAACGTTACACGGTAACCGTTTACTCCAAACAAAACGGCTCATGTTTACACTTTCCTAGTTATTTCTGCGTAACGTAACGTAGTCGCGTACAGCACGAGACAGCAGGCGTGCGTCAGCGTGCGCGAGACGCTGGTCATGTCTGGGCATGTCCACTAACTAGTGCGCTAGCTATATTTAAACCCAGTTAAAGCCATCAACCGGTTGGTTTTGTGTCAGTAGTCTCTAAATAACAACTTCAAATCCACATAGCCACACATTTACGCTTTAAATTCCATTTCCACGCCATTTATTTTACGTTTAGCGTACGAACGTAAGAGTCTTGTGTTGTTTTACGGCGGGTGAGAACATTTGAAGGCTCAAAAGAAACGTCTAGAAGCTAAAAAAAAAAACGTAATAAGCAAATAGCGCCTATACGTATAAAATCTGAAATATCGATAATAATTGATTAAACTGCTTACCTTTCGTAGATTTGACGATCTGGATTAAAAACAACAAATATGAAGCTGTGAGTCTATGAAATAAAAGTTATTTAAAAAAATTAAGTTGTAAGTATGTAACTTTAAAGCAATGTAACCAGCGCCCTGCACACCCCAACCCTCGGCGTCAGGCAGTGACAGCAGGCTGCTTGCATGCTTTATACTCGGAGAAAGTCCATATCCAAACATAGAAGCACCTCATTGGGCAGTGCTCACACAGAGCTCCGTCTTTCTGAATGCCTATTGGTTGAGCTTTGGCTGTGGGCTTTGGCCACGCCCCACTAGCAAGATGTAGGCGGGGTTTAAACGCTCTGCAGTGCAGTGAAATCCAGCATGTTGTTAGATATTCAGTGCGCTCCCTTGATCGTTGATACAGGCCTGCAAAGCAAAAAGTAAATAAATAAATTGAAATAAATACAAAATACATTAAAAAAATTATTACAAGTATTAAATCACCACCATAACTGCGTCGCAACATTTAAATGTTACATATTATATTATATTATATTATATTATATTATTAAACATATAACCAACTAATACAACAACCTGTGATAAAAGCCAATGTGTTGATAAAAAAACAACAACTTGAAAACAATAGTATTTAGTTAACCTCACACATACAGACATAAAAGTGAAGCGATAAACATTCCGGTAACGGATAAAGACCGAGAATTACTTTGCTTTGTCTTGTGGCACTAAATCTGAATCAAGCCATCTAGGTTTAAATTGCTTACTGTGGCTACGTAACATGCAAAGTGAGAATTAATTAAGCCACAAAGGGAAAAGAATATATAATATAATATAACACAGTTTTTAACATTACAGAATAATTTAAGAACAATGCTGTAATAACTCTTTCTGATCTTATTGTGCTTACGAAGCATTAGAAAGTTCCAGGGGTTTTAGGACAACAGCAGGCCAAAGCAACACAACATCTGAATATAATAAATCTGCATTGTGGCAGTGAATCTCGCGGTCAAGCAAACAATCAGATAAATACATAGAAAATAAAAGAAATGCAAAGTTGTTTGTGTATGAGGACATTTCTAAACACATGCTCCAAATTCACAGACGACAAATTCTGCAAAGCGAGATAAAAAATGTATATAAGATGTTTGCAAAAATCAGAATGAAAAACTAATATCTGTATTAAATTGATATTATAAAAAGCATGAGCTATTTTTGATTGCTTACTGTTTCAGTTCCAACAGATGGCGCCAAACATATCACTAGGCCTACGTCTCAGTGCACCTCACTGCAAAAACCTTCACAATAAAAGCAAAGAACTCGACATTTTCCGTGCATTTATATGCATCTTACAAGCGTGCCGAGATCCTTGTTAGCATTTCTTACAAGCATGGATAATCCTGCTGCCGCTTTCCCTTTATTGGTGCACAGGAGAGATCCCCCGGAGACAAGGGTTATAGACCTGCCTTTTTCACAAGCTTTCCCCCTTTTAACCCAGTGCCTAGTTACAGAACTGAGCTTCGGCAAGGACGAGGGGGTTATTTTCATTGTGTGAGATGTGGACGTATGTCTAGCTTTCCCCAGTTAATGAGCTGTGCAGGAAAACAGCATGGAGGCCATTTAGCTCGAATGTACACTAGCTGACAACAGTTTAGATTTTTTATGTGTTTTAAAGAAGTCTCTTCTGCTCACCAAGCCTGCATTTATTTGATCCAAAATACAGCAAAAACAGTAAAATTGTGAAATATTTTTACTATTTAAAATAGCTGCTTTCTGTGTGAATATCTGTTAAAATGTAATGTATTTCTGTGATCAAAGCTGTATTTTCAGCATCATTACTCCAGTCTTCAGTGTCACATGATCTTCAGAAATCATAATAATATGCTGATTTGCTGCTCAAGACGAATTATTATTATTATTATCGATATTTAAAACAGTTGAGTAAATTGTTACAGGATTCTTTGATGAATAGAAAAAAAATCAGCATTTATTTGAAATAAAAATCTTTTGTAACATTATACACTATACCATTCAAAAGCTTGGAGTCAGTATATTTAAAAATTTTTTTTTTTTGGAAAGAAATTCTAGAAATTAATACTTTTATTTAGCAAGGATGCTTTAAATTGATCAGAAGTGATGATAAAGACATTTATAATGTTACAAAAGATTTCTATTTCAGATAAATACTGTTCTTCTAATCTTTCTATTCATCAAAGAAACCTGAAAAAATTCTACTCGGCTGTTTTCAGTGTAATAATAATAATAATAAATGTTTCTCGAGCAGCAAATCAGCATATTATTATGATTTCTGAAGATCATGTGACACTGAAGACTGGAGTAATGATGCTAAAAATACAGATTTGATCACAGCAATAAATTACATTTTACAATATATTCACATAGAAAACAGTTATTTTAAATAGTAAAAATATTTCAAAATTGTACTGTTTTTGCTGTACGCTGGATCAAAGAAATGCAGGCTTGGTGAGCAGATGAAAATTAAAAATCTTACTGTTAGACTGGTAGTGTATAAATACATTTTCCTCATGTCATGCATAAACTGGCAGGTCTGAGATGTTAAAGAGTTAAGGATCTTACTGTACGCTGCACATATGTCAGTATCCCAAACGGATGCAGGGCTGATTTGAGAGTGCTTAATTATTTCCTCCTGATTGAATATTCAGATGTTTAAATAATCCTCTATTATAAAATGGGGCAGCACACTTTAAGCCCCCTGTTGCCTTGTTTGGGTGGCAAAGCAAGCGTACTCACAGTGACAGCTTGAACAGGAGACACACAAGAATCCTGCTGTTTGGAGCACATGCCTCATTATTGAGATTCATCTGCAGCCCTCTTTTTGCCAGAGGTCTTTGCAAACTGACTTCAGGACTCCAGGCCATGACTGAACATAAACATGGCTGATTTGATGACACCTGACAGCGCTCGTAGCTGAGCAGGTAAACAGTCGCCTCATTTTAAATGTGTTTGAAGCACGATGTAGAGCATACAATGCCAAATTACCTTCCACTTACACATTCAGTGAAACAGAACACTGCAAAACATGATTTTCTTCCTTAGTATTTTTGTCTTGTTTTCTAAATATCTATGAATTCTTGAATCAGGATGCATTTACTTGACAAGTAAAATGACTTAAGATATTATGTCTTGTTTTCTGTAAAAAGAAAACAAAAAAACAAATTGTGTTAGTTTCTTGCTTAAAACAAGCAAAAATATCTGCCAATGGGGGTAATTATTTTTAATTTTTTTCAGAAAATAAGATTAAGATTACTATTTCAAATAAATGCTGTACTTTAACTTCTATTCATTAGTTAATCCGGGAGAAAAAATTATCCGTTTTTCCAGAAAAATCTTGGGCAGCATGATCCATCCAACATTGATAATAATCAGAAATGTTTCTTGAGCAGCAAATCAGCATATTATTATGATTTCTGAAGATCATGTGACACTGAAGACTGGAGTAATGATGCTGAAAATACAGCTGCGCATCACAGAAATACATTAATGTTTAACAGATATTCACATAGAAAACATATTTTAAATTATTATAATTTTTTACTATATTAGTGTTTTTAATACTTTCTTGACCAAATAAATGCAGCATCTGTGAGCATAAGAGACTTATTGTGTGTGTGTGTGTGTGTGTGTGTGTGTGTGTGTGTGTGTGTGGG